GGAATTCTGGGAGTTGAAGTCCACGCATCTTCAAGTTGCCAAGGTTGAGAAACACTGAAGTAGAGAGTTATTGCTACAGTCACTGATATCCAAGAGAACACAGTACTTTCTCTTTGGGAAGAGGGTCAGGCAGAAGGCAAACTTGGAGGCTGAGAATTTAAAAAAAACAACCCTCACGTCCACAACAGAAGTCGACATCACAAGGAGCGGGTTTATGTTTGAGAGGGATCTGGGTCAGATAGTTGATGACCAAGTGGGGCTGGGGGGAGGAATGGGCCTAATATGAGACAGAGTCAGGAGGGAAAGTGTTTAGGAAACAACCCGGCTTATTAGGAACTGAGATTCGGGGGCTGGAGAGCCTTTCTGACTTTTAGGCTGCAGTTTTGATTTCCGCAGGGAAATTCACCCCCGAGGAAAGACTTCTGTTGGCATCGGGCTTTGCAAAACCTGTTTGGCCATTGCAGAAAGGCAATAGGGGCCATGTGCAGGGAAAGTGTGCAGGTAGAAGATTTGCCCCTGACGGTCCTTCTCAGCAGGTAGATCCCTATGCTATGTACAGTTTGGGCCAAATGCTCACTGCTGTTAGTATCCTTTTTTCTTTCCTTTTAAAAATCCCTTCTGGGACCAGTTTGGAGGAGCCCAGTGGGTCTCCCCAAGATGCAGGGAACCCTCTGGTTTCCTAGGAGGTCCAGGTGGGTTTCACCTGGATGCAAGAGGGCTTCCTTCATCCTCGCAGGAGGATCTCGCTAGCCAGCTGGAGGGCAAGGACCTCTGTACCCATCAAGAGCTATGTTGGAAGCTGCTTCCCATAGAAGGAGAGCTATTCCTTGCCAGCCTAGTATTATCAATGTTGAGTGTACATTGTTCTCAGGGTAGTTTTTCCAAGCCTCACTTGGAGAAGCTGGGGCTGAACCTGGATCCTTCTGCATACAAACCATTTTAGTCTTAGAACTATATATCTGGATATGTTCAAGAGAAGTTTGGCCTTCACATCATTTCCTCTAGCCTAAAATGTTCTTCATTCATCATTCCTTGGAATATTCTCCACTCCTCCTCCCCCCCAGTAAGATTGGCACTGAGTGAGATCTAGCCCAGGGCAGACTGGCATGAGAAATGTGAGTGAGAAATCAGAAATGTAACTGAGGATCTTTTCCAGACTGGCTACTGCCAACAGCCTCCTCCAAACTGTTGGGTTGTCATCACCATTATTCTTAACCTGACTGGGGATGGTGACATCTACAGTCTTAGCAAGACAGAAGTTCTACATCCCGTGGAGATGGCTCGCCACTTAGTTCTGATAATACAGGAAGATAGATGAAGCCATCCCATGCCAGCCTAACCCATTATCTGCTGAGCTGAGAATGATCTCAGAATGTTCCCAGGTTTACTAGCAGACACCCTTTAATTATGACTATATTTTGCATCAATGAATTATATGGACATTTCAATAAACAAATAAATGGCACCGAAAGCCAACTCTCTGAGTCATAGTCTCATATTCTGTTCTGACCTCGAGACTCAAAGCCTCCTTCTTAGTTCCTGAAGCTTCTCTTCCTTCCTCTGCCTTTTGTTATTGCTGGCTTTCTTTTACTGTCATTCAAGCTGTACCTGAAAGCGAGAGCGAGCTCGTCGTTTGCACTGTAAGAGAAGTACAGATTTGGTTTTGGTAAGGCAAGATTTAAGCAAGAGAGCAAGGTCCTCTGTCCTTAGGTTCATGCTTCGTTGAAGCTGGAGACCAGGAAGTTCTCCTCTCTTGCTTCCTCCTAGTTTTATTATTTTATGCAGGAAGGAACCAATAAACTGTCTTTGAGCTATTTCCTTCTCATCTAGGTTTGGGTGCACCACCCTTCCCCACCCGGCTACAAAAGGTAGAGCTAAAAAGGTTGCATTGGGCAGAGTGAAAAAGATCTAGAATGTCCCCCATTTTTCCATCTCGCAAGAGCCTTGGGGTATTTAACAATGCATACAATTCTTGTTGCTGCCGATATGCTGCTTCTGATGCTTTGCGACCAACGGACATAATTTTGCTAGGATTCTAACGATACAGCATGGAACTAAACTGAGATGGTTTAATTAGATGGTCTTAGCGGTGCAGACAGGTTGGGTCCTATCACACTGGGTTGTGTGCTGGGGGGGGGGAAGCAAGCAAGGGGCTTCTACCTTCTGCAAAGAATTTGGCCCCAGAACTTTCAGGAACATACTTGTCTAGATTTTGAAATAGAGCTGGTAACATCCACCCTTGAAAAAAAGCCATTTGAAAGAAAACAAAGGATTTTTTTTCAAGGTGGAGAGGAAAGGTCTAAACAGAAACATGCAAAACAGTTGTGATTAACTTCACACAACAGGCAAACTACAGGGGGCTTGTTTTGAGATTGTGAGTCCAGAACAAAACATTAGGGGATGACCCTCGTGTTTAAAAACCAATCCTTTGCAAACCTATATTTTTTTTCCTGATCCAACGAACCCCACTGCATAGAAATATAAACTGGCACACACAACTTCAGTGCCCTAGCGCAGGAGGGTGAGGAACCCAGCCACAAATATTTACATGCGCGCGCACACATACCATTCACTCACTTTCTCTCTGCTGGGTTGCGCTTAAAACAAACTCTTTTGAGAGAACTCTGGGAATTATTCGAACACACGGTGTGGATCCAGCAACTTTCAACTAGCTGTGTGCAAACAACCCGACTGAGTTAGCTTCTCCTGGAGCAATTAACACCCCATGTATCTTGCAACACACAGTCGATTAACCAGTAGGTCACGTAGTAGCTATTTCTGAGTTTCGCCTGCTGCTCCCTAGAGCAGGAAATTCATTTACTGGTTTCTTTTCCAGTGAACAAACCAAAAGAGAAAGTGAAACTATCTGGGCGTGGCCTGAGCCATCCCCACCCCTTTCTGGCTATTTTCCACCTGCCTGGTAGACCACCAAGGGGGTGGTGAGAAGACAAGATTTCCTAGAAAAGCCCTATTTTCATAAGGTCTCTCTAGGACAGTGTTTCTCAACCTTGGCTGCTTTAAGAAGTGTGGACTTCAACTCCCAGAATTCCCCAGCCAGCCATGCTGGCTGGGGAATT